CATTGCCATCGTAGTCCGATAATTCTATTATCCCTGCTGTTTATCACTATTAAACAGCAAAAGGGTCTAATTAATTGACAGGTTTTTGAAAGGAAATCTTTTCTAAGAAAGATATTTAAAGTTTTTAGTAATCGATCTTCCCTATGTAGTATGGTCGATTTCGAGTTGTTGCATTACGAAGTAGCAACAGAATTTGAATACGGAAATCATCAGCATCATCTCATTAATCATCATCATCATACCTCAAACGGTGACTTCAGCTCGTTTGGCGCTCGTGAAAATARATAATGAAGTACAGTRCTGAAYGGTAGGCTTTCACCCAGGGCTGGATTACTGACGATATCCTGAGAGGTYTGGAATAACAGCGGCCTAGCACAAAGGAGGAAATATTCGTTAGRGTTGSACAATGAACGAGTAGRAGTTKTARCAAGTGCTTGCTGGTAATCCTGAATTACCTATCGGCGCCACCATCAARCAYAARGCTAGTTTAAACACGAACTTATCATCAAAGCTTAAGYTCTTTATTATTTACTAACTCACCGGAAAGATCGYARTAGTTTGTAAGGTTTGCCTAAATCAGAMACCTTGTGGCAAAAGGGACCGACAGCAAACTCAATCTAACATAAAAGAGACAACARTAATRCAAAACCAMTACAAAAGATGGTTGATTTTTAATCWTGAACAAAAAWTCACGAGTTAAAAAAATAACSTCGAAGTTTTAAAAGGGCTAGCTCACACTGCAACATAAGCACCAACGAGGCTCGAAAAACGAGCGCTCGGGGTACGAGATTGCATAAGCATATGCTCCATAAACAATAGATCTATTATAGGATAAAAATAGGATTAAAAAATGGGATAAAAAGAAAAAAAGGTGCTTTTTTCTGATTTTGTTTTTATTACGTTTGCTATGCTTATGTCGATGCATGCTTATTTAATATTTAGCCATCCAGGATGGTTTTATACCTGCGCCGTGTCAGCAGCTAGTTTTAGCTTTCCTCCTTCACCTATATTTCTYAATAAACTTGTATGTCGCACGAATAACTCCAAGACACGACTTGCTATCGGTTCCAACCTGGAATACCAACAGACAACATTACACGCAACTCGATCTTTTGCTTGAAATCAGAATGCCTAAATTACCTTGCCATGAGCAGCTCTTTACATTCGTATAATGACGCATGGTTTCTTTGGATGCTTAGAATAAAGTCCTAACAAAGGAGAACAGTTTATAATACAATACTAAGTTTTTTTACAATACTAAGGTTTTTTGATCTGAACTTCACGTGAAATTAAGGTCCGTTTTTTATTAGTGGAATTGAGTGATGAGCATTTTGTACTCTGAATTTATTGACATTAGTAGATTTTGTTCAGTTGGACAAATTTACTATAATCTGCAAATATCGATTGATGTAGACTGCAAAGTTCGAGAACTGCATGTAAGCAATTAGATTAGATGCGGCAAAAGAWCGACGTCTGAAACGGGCCTAACATGCATTTTGGTTGCTGATCTGCGGCCTATATCTCCCTTCCAAGGAAATTGTTTCATTGGTCAATCGCTATTCTGGGTTACATGCTACCGAAATGTACGGCGGGAAATCACTGAGCCATGAGGGACTAAAATCTGTGTGTATATTCATTATAGACTGGCTATTTGTTGATATATTTTATTGATTGATTAATGATATTCATGACTTGTGCAATGTCCCATCATGTTTTGAGACTCACCTCAATGTCTTTAATGTATGAAGAACATGGTGCATCCGGGACCTTTTCGCTATACTTAGACAATGACGTACTGAAAGTAAAAAAAGAAAAAAAACTGATGGGACGTCAAGCAGCGTTCAGCCGCGGGCTGCGGTTTAATGTCAACCCACGCCCTGTATCGAACTGATACGATATCTTGTTTGAATTATGCTCCTCCCACGCGCTCTGGTAGTTAAAAACCAATTTATTTATACTAAGCAATTTACAGCGACGCCATTTTGTGAAGCAAAGCATGATGGAAGTTGTAACTAAAACAGGTCTCTTAAATCGTTTGTACTTTTTCTTTGTGAGAAGAAAAGGCGTCCCTACACGTTGCCTATTACTTTATTGGACGTCGAGGAAAAATGGGGCGAGTTAGGTGCACAAAGTGTGATCAAATCCTCCATTGGTTTCCTTTGCTCAATCTGCGTAGTTTCCTCACGTCCAATTCTAACACAGGAATCCTTACATCAAAAGGGAAAAATACGAAGAGTCGGATATATATTATTGAAATCTTAGACGTGACTCTCTTTGGACTCATAAAATAATAAACAAACTTTGATAACAAATCGAAAATTCAAAACGAACGTGGATCGCGAAGAGTCTATTGAAATCTWCGCTAAGACAATTACRCCGTCAGAATTMTTTGACAAATATAACAGATTAAAATARAATAAAAGTCTAAGCGTAGGAGTACTGGTATAACAAACACGTTTGAACAGAGAATCAAGYATACATGTTATTATTGTGTGAAGGAAAGCTCAAGACAACCGCTATCAAAGAAGATTGAAATGTACTGAACAACTAGATAGGTTAGTATTCAGTTAATCGCATTAAAAGTAATATCCTTAATAAGTCGTGATAGAAACTAAAAGAAGTCAGAATTTATGTTTCATATCGTGTAACTGTTTCAGTTTCACGGGACTTTTTTTCCACCTATTTTCACTTTAATACAATGACGAAATAGGTATATATAATTCCGTGAAACAAGATCTCAGTTATAGTCGAGCCTTGTAATAGCCTAGTACACAAACGAAAGCAAAGTTTTATTTCAAGATTTTCAGACTTCAAACGATTATAATTCCAAGGGTAAGTAAACGTGTTCACTAGACCTTTACAACAAATCTTATCTCTGGAAAATGCATWAAAAAAATTTAAAATAAACCTTTTAACAACCAGGCTTACTTTCTGTTTCTCTTATCGCACGGTACTTGAATTTGGTAATCATATYAAAATCAACTTATCAAGAATTAAAGTCATACGCATTWTACGTGCTTTTTAAAGGGAGTTTTAAGATATAAATRCGCGTTATCATACAGGGTGCAGACGACGTCTTCCCACGTYKTTTTACGGTGATTTATAACCGTCAAGCGTGATTGACAGATAAGAGATTTCCTAAGAGGTACAACCTATTTGAAAAGRCTGTAAAAATCGATTCTAAAATGTTACGAGAGATTACAATTAGTATCGGACAAGAGAAAACGAGACACACTAACATCAATACATAAATGCCTTCGACAAATTTCCATATTCTACAATTTTTTTCAGGCAAGTGCTTTTTGAGATTTCTCCACAAAGGACTTTGGAAATATTTCCGTCTATGCTTACGAGTTTCAGTTGAAGCGCGAACCGTAAAATTACAATATAACACTTTATTTTGAATCATCATTCTAGTCTGAAAATAGCATTCATTATGAAAGAAAAACGCCYCTACAATTTTACATATTTCATATGCGGTATCAAAAAAATACTGTTTTTCTTGAGTGCAATTTTAACGGAGCTTTTTGAGCAATTAATAAAAGTAATTAAGACAAAATGAGATTGGAATATTGCATATGAGCCGGCGTAGAAAGGATAGCCAGAGATGAGAGAAAAATGTCCGACAAGAACTCCCTCACTTTTTCTGTCAGTGACATTGAATTTGCTTTACAATGTTTCAGTTGTGTAAGACGAAGGATTAAAAGTCCGAAACGTCAGTAAGTTATTTCGCCAATTTTTTACGGTGTTAAATTTATCTTTTTATACAACTGTTACTTTAGAAACACCGACGCAGCTCACACTAAATCACCGCTAGTTCCCACCATTTTCACCATGTTTCAACCAATCAAAATCAGTTTCAAAATGGTTGATGAGTGCTTGTCATTTTTCCGGCCAATCACAAAGCATAAACGTTATCATCTCAAAATACTAAATGTCAAATAAAGATATTTCAAAGAAACTGATTCTACACTAAAGTCTTATAAACAATTCATAGGTTTTTATCATCTTTTTTGTTTTTCTCTCAGCAGTATGTTTTGTGGTTTTTGATATCAATACAGGAAATACAACATTCCTGGGCGGTAGTTTTTGTGCAATGAAAACATGACACCACAGCTACCATATCAATACTTTATTCCCTTCGAAAATCCAACAAAATTTGTCTCGAGTTTCTTTGAAAACTGTCTTCAACATCCAAATAAATGTTCAGTATTGCCTCTCAACGAATGAATCTTTTATTAAATTTGATAAACTAAAAGAAATCGATACAGCAATAAACTAATTATCCAACAAAATATCTCTCTTTTTATATTCCTGCATTCACTTAACTCCCAAGAAGTTGCTAATCGACATGAACAAGCCTARAGCAATCTCAAAAATAGATTCTGCATGTAATTATCTGGTTGTCAGATACAGACGGTATTATAGGGTAAATCTACCTTAGACAAAGGAAATGATATATATATCTGTGTTTTACAGGTTTATCAATAATAAAACACTATTCTGAAAGCTTTCTTAATCACCCACTAACCGCGAATTATGCAGAAGTGTTGACGGAGATTTTCTGGAAGGCAAATCTTCACATTGCAAAGGTATCGTAATTCTTCAAAGAACACGTAATTTTATGCACCAAATTCGTTAACCAGTTTGATAACCATATACAGCTGAGCAACACTAAAATCTCTAGAAGCTGAATTTTTGTCAAGCCAACAAAACAATTTTTTCACTAGGGGAATATTTTCCAATGAATTATGACATTTGCTCATATTCACCAACACTGACAAAAATCATTAGTAAAAATGCAGTTGCGTTTGAGCAAATTAGAAATTTAGTTTTAGTTCGCGGCGATAACGAAAAGTTTAAGCCAAGCTAGTGTCAAAGAAATGAAGTGTTGGGAGAAGCTTGACCTGTATTTATGCGCCCACCTGATTTCTTGAGTTTTATCCTCCGTTTCAGAGGATTTACTTCTGAATACAGTACGTCAAAGCCTCTTCTAGTTGCTTTATCGTTTCCAGTGAAATTCATAATATGCAAAATCTCAGTTACTGACATCAAAATGCGCGTATTATCCAGTTATCCAAAGTTTATAATAATTCTAAATAGAATACCTTGTAAAGTCTTCAGTATGTACTCGGTATATAAGATTTTCCAACTCTATCATAACTGCTTTAACCAAAGGATCCAGTGCCTCATYGATAAGTGATACCATTCCCTGTAAATATCAGAATAAACGGCAACTACAAGTTTAAAAGCAATCATAAATGAAAAATATTAACAAGCAAATAAATCAAAAAGATAAACAATACTTGGTTGAGACGGTGTTTAATATGGAAAAATATTATTTSGAATTGTGCATGATATGAAGAATTATTGGACGATGTATGACGTAAGAATTTTGTGAAAACAACCGTTCGTCTATTGTTGCATATTTTTTCATGTATCCATTCATTTATTTTTCATCCATTTTGCTTTTATTTTCCCATTTGTAATCACTTTGTTTTGTTTATTTACTAATTAATTCTTTCATTTGTTCAGTTTATTTCCGTATTCGTTCATTGATTTCTCGTTTTTTTCATTTATAATTCAACCATTAGATTACAAGCGTTTTTTTCAGCGTCGTAGTTTTGATCCTTACTCTTAGCAGTATAGACATATCATAGCTATTAAACCAGCCCCCATACTTGAAAGCTGCGCATATAATCTCAATCTGCCGCATATCAATTAAACTCAGAACCCAAAACAACGTATATCTATATCTAAAGCTGACTTTTTCAGGGTTTTTCAAAACCAGAAGGTGTCCTTATGGTTTGAAAAAGGATATCTAGATTGTATATTCAATTTTGAAATYGTCTTATCATTTGATATGGTATAGAACCAACGCAAAATTGACATCATCAGCCTAAAGGCAAATCTTTTCAAAATTGCATCTTACGTACAGGRAAATCTGCAAAAGATGTCTCAGATATCTGGTTTTGCTTCGCATAAAATATGTTTTTATACTCATTGTAATTGTATATAATTGGATACTCATTATATGTGAATAAATTGCAATTTAGAAACTACAGTCATATTAAAAGCACTTAATAACACAAAAGTTTTCTSGTTGTCGTTTTAGAGACATTTCTATAAATTTCGTAATGCCTCATAAAATATTGTATAAAAAGATTGAATAATATTGACGAAGCCACGAGCCGAAAAGGAAAGCAGATTTCGAGGTTTCTTCACATCCTAGACTGCCAAATCTAATATTTCTCTTATTATTATTTTTAAACACATAAAAAACACATTATTTTTCTTTTTAATTAAGAATTGTAGTTTTAAATGAAAACTGAGTTAGAAGGTAACACTTTGAAGTGCAATGTCTATGACATCAGAGCAYRGCCTAAAACATTATTGCACGGTGCGTGACGTCAAAATATCACATTAAAAATTGTTGGACGCTGACTTCGAAATATAAAGAATTGTTGGACGAYAGACTASCATATATTTGAATTAATAACAGTTRATAATSAAGATAATTAGTAGAAATCTCACTAAAGAAAATTTTGTTCATAATATATAAAATGGTTCGATGGATCAATTCATATTTGTAATATAGCGTTTCAATCATTGAAAATTACGGAACAGCGTGAAATATTAATGCCAAAATTCAATAGAAATGAGAGACATTTTGAAAAAGAATTTGACAGCGGGCACGAGGGGACCCCAATACTAATGAACTTCATGTAAAGAATTGCGTCTTTGCGTCTCCCTAGCACTTCTGTCTTAACACATGGACTTCGACATTATTTATGTCCCAAAATTTGCAAGTCAAACTAGTTACAAAAAGCAGATAATTCGCTAAATACGGGGGGCATTAAACTTTACAAGCCGATTGTACTTTCTTTGAAACACGGTGCCGAACGAATCACAGGCAAGTATTAGACGTTTGAGTGGAGTTTAAAGTCGGATATATCGTTGTTTCCTGGACAAGAGTACGTCCTTAACGAAACATAAACCGCGTACGAGATTGTGTCTTTCAAACGCTAATTACTCAGGTTGGCTGAACACAATTGATCATTTTTATCCTTTTTTCGGGGTTAAAATCATATCAAAGCTCTATACATTTGAGCCTTTTGTGGCTTAGAGGATAGTATTGATCTAATGCTTTGTGTTTCTCTTTGTAGTTTCGACAACATATTCATCACCGAGACGAAGAGCTGAGTTTAATAAGAAAATATGTTTCTTGGTGCGCCGAAAGCGACACGGACACCTTACGAGGGCCGAGGTAAGAACAAACTGAACTAAATAGCGTTTGGAAGTCAGAAACTGATAAAAAGAAAGAGAAAAGAAAGTTTTAACTTAAACAGGAATATAAAATTGACACGAAAAGAAAAACGAGTTTTAAACATATTAAAAAGAATTAGTATCAATTCGTAAAATATTTTTAATGCAATACAAGGTATACGTATTTTTGGGGGGATTAGCGGGAAAAATACGCACAAAGTCAGAAAAAAAACACACCGCGTATAAAACTGCGAGATCTCAAGGTGATTACTTCATAATATATACGAAAACAAATTATCAAAGCTGACTGATCAAGCAAATGTTTTCAATAAGTTGTTATTATCACTCAATCTGGAAGCAATGTAGACACGTTTAATTCAAAATAAGTTTTGATTCAAAACTATAAGGAAATATAAGTGCAGTCAAAGAGTTTGCCTCTGGTGGTCATTTTATTATCAATATATGTCAATCTGCGGACAGCTTGAGTTTGAAGAATTAAACCAAACACATCTTGCAAACCACGGAGACAAAATACACAAAAACCTCGTACAAAGACCGTACATTGAACCTAAATCAAGTACATATTAATAAACTAAGCCATTTCAGCTTTTAATATGAACGAAAACTACCCAAAACAATTTAAATTATTTATAAAAGTCAGTAAAGGATTTGATTGGAAAACGATTTTTCAAACTAATTTTTTTCTACCCTGACTGTGAGGTCTTAGGAATAAACATTGAAGACGATACTGTCTTGGTTAAATTACTTCTWACATAATAAGAATATGAATTATATACATAGCGATAATAAGAAGATATTGATAATGAGATAAGTTTTAGAATAATAATTATGAGAATATGATATTGTATTAATAATAATAATAAATTTATATTAAATAATAATAATAATAACAGTCTTTGTTCAATACGATTAATTAAATAGTAATAACAAAATAAAATTTATATTAATATCATCATCATTATTATCATCAACATAATCACAATGATGACAAAAGTGATTGAAAAAATGGAAAAAAATTAAATAAAATATGAAATAAAAAAGAATAAAATAAAATAAAATAGAATAAACACGAAAGTGCAATAGTTCAATTGACGATCAATTTTGATAAAAGTTTCCACTATAAGATAATAAAGCACGAGACATCAGCCGCTAACGACTCGAAACAGTCACACTTTCTAAGAGTAATGAGTCTAGAGCTAAACTGAGGTGGTTTGCTGTGCAAAACAATGATTTATTAATAGCTGATGAAATAATTTTCCACGATCAAAAAAAAAAAAAAAAGGAAAAGAGATAATTCCATTTGAAATAAAAGATATGAAATGAAATGAAAAATGGGAAACGGAGAAAACAAAATATAGAATTGAAGATCATTACATCATTAAAGATCTCAGCTCTAACGAATTATACAGACAAAATAAGACAAAAACAAGAAAAGAAGAGTTTTCAAAGTTTCGTGAATGGAGTCTTTCGTGTTTATCTAATRTGTTCATCTCAGATATTGCAGTAACGGGATATAAACACTTAACAACACAGCCACTTGTCTGCTTTTCAAGTTTTTGAACTAGATACTTTATTAAGAAAGACACTACGAGGAGATTAAACATGCAAAGGAAATAAAAATGGATGCGAAATAGAAGAAGAGAKAAARGAAAGTGAAGAGTGAAGCACAATAAGAAAAAATCAGGATGCAATTGGAAATTATGAATCAACGTTTATTATGAAAGAAATGCAAAAGAAAGAATTTCTTCGAGAAAGAAAGACACTACAAGGAGATTAAACATGGAAAAGAAATTAAAAAAATGGATGTGAAATAGAAGAAGGAAAGCGAGAGAGGAAAGTAGAGTGAAGCAYAATAAGAAAAAAATCGTGATACAATTGGAAATTATGAATCAAMGTTTAATATGAAAGAAATACAAAAAAATGTTCAAGAAAAAAAGAGTAAGCATGCAGAGAGGAAAAGTGAAAGAAATAAAAAGTAAAATTAAAAGAATAGATCGGAGAAGAAAGGACATTCTTGAAGGAAACAATGAAAGAAAAAATGACGGAAAAAATGTAAGYACATACGAATAAAGATAATTTAAACATTGTCAGTTCTTAAATAAATCAACTTTACATAAGTTGTTCTTGAATTTGAATGTACAAGCAGAATCGATAAAAGCTGAGTAATTTAGAAGTTATGCACTAGTAGAAAAGTACACATGAACGGGAAAAATGGGAAGGGGAGAATGAAAAAACACGAAAGCCAGAAAGGAAGAAAAAGAAAACAGAGAGACAAAAACTGAGCCATAAGAGTTCACAATACTACACAATCCCTTGYATAACGAGTCTCTTGTAATCAAACAGGACATCATGTCGTTAGCACAGCGCCATTTCCGACAATAATACAATATTTGMAATAGAATTACAGCGAGACTAAACTCGTAAATTATCAAACGTGATAAAAAAGTCATTTCTGTCAACAACGACACGTTTGAGGTCATTTTAGGAAAATTTCTTTTGAATTTTTACCACTTTTTCTACTAATAACGGTCAATTGCATGACCTTTTGCGGTCYTCCTCCTCCACCTCTTCTTTTCATCTCATCAAAACAGGAACGTTAATAGTACAAACATCGTTAATTTGCGGGCATGATGTCGCGCACGTCATGCCATCAAATATGGCCGCCATCTTGGATCAGAAAACGTTTTAATTGATCACACACGAAGACGTATATCCCACGAAATTTAAGAGAAAACACAACAATAAAAAGATAAACTTGTATGGCAATATTTCACGAAGCAGATTTTAGCTGTTGTAGCTTTAAATTTATAGTATGTTTAGCAATTAAGACAAATACTTATTTGTGCCCAAAGCAATCAGTTCGATTTACGTAATAACAATATTACTTCTGACGTCTTTAAAATTTAATATCTCGCACTTGTTATAGTGTCTTAAAGCTAATGACAATGGACGTCGTTTTAGTAACTTTGTGATTAAATGAGACAAAACGTCTATGGTGGCAAAACAAGATTAAGGTAAATAAAATGGTTCACTTAAAATTGAAAAAAATGAACAAGAAAATGAGAGAAAACTTATGAACACGAAACACTTAGTAGAAATTAATATGAGAACAAATACTGTCAAGTTAAATGTGGGTTTGTTTGGGTATATCTAGTAAAACCATATCTAGTTTTATCATGAAAAGAAAAAAGGAAAACCATGGTGTATACAACACAAAATAGTAGATCCTTAAATGATTTTGATTTTTTTTTTTTTTTCATTTTTTAACGTAATGTATTAGACTCGAATATCATCAAAACAAATCTTAAACTTATTCAATTTAATAAGTCTTGTCGTGCGTGGGCTGTCAAACGAACGACTAATCTTCGTGACACCCCATTCTTCAATAAAACAGCTGGTTGTCATAACAACTGTTGCTAAAGTGACAGGTCGGAAAGCATCAAAAGCGACACAGGGAATCCAAAGATATAACTCCAACTAAAATAACAAAGATTTCTAGAGATAATATAAGTTTGTTTTACCTCAAGAGCAGTTCGTATTGCATCGACTGCTACATCGGGTGGAGATTTTATGTTATCGACAATCTGAAAGAAGAAGAGTTTTTAAGTTTATGATCTCGATATTGGCCCCAGCGTGTCTGATAAGTAAAGCACAGGTATCTGAAACAACGAGTATTACATAGAAAAGACAGGATGAAAGGAARAGAAAAGAGAGAGAAGGGATAAAGGGAAATAAAAGGGAAAAGCGATAAAACAAACTAAATGAATTAGGAGACGAAAAAGGTTTTCCATTGTCATCACATTTAAGTATTATTATCGTAGGTTACCTTAGCAACAGCCTGGTATAGTTGATAAAGGCTGTTAACAATGGCAGCACTTCGTAGTTGTCCACTTGTTGGTGTGCCGTGGATTTGACCGGCTTCTGATGCACTAGGAAGCTGCAATAGATAATAGATGTTGTAAATAAAGACACCATTCACTGTAGAAGTGAAAGTTTGCCAATGTAATACAAAGTCTGCTATTGTTTAAAGGCCAACGTGTATCAAAGAATCTCACATACGGAAAGTCGCCATCTTAGTTGAGGGAGGGAGGGGGGGAGGGGTTATGATCGCACATGCACGATGGATACACTTTCGCTCAATCAAGACTTTCGACGAAAGACATTTTTAGAAACAAAACAAGCGATTGCAAAGGTTGTCGGGTGGAAATGGGTCTTTAATTGTTGTTATTTTAAGCAATTTGTTTCAATTTGTTTCACACAAAATGATCAAAATGCATCATAGAAATCCTTTGTTGTGGTCCCGTACTTGGAATCGAAGGGTGGATTGGTGGAGAATTTTCCAATGTTTATGTTCCATATTTCATTCAATAATTTCCCGATTACTTTTCTCTCAAATAGATCGCGCTTACACCATCGAGCAAATGATATCAACAACATTCGAGCCAAAGCCAACTGACTCCCGTCAACGAAATAAAACCAGCCCCACCAACTCCTCCCACGGCAAAACACGATTTATCAAGATTAAAGAGCGAACAAAAACATTGCTCTTCAGACTGTTTCTCCTAGGGATCTATATTACTTCCGGTGCAGCTATTTTCCACGTGATTGAGTCACGCAACAAAAAAGAACAACATTGTCACGAATATGGAGACTCCAAGCTTGAGATTGAAATGGCCGAAAAGTTGAATGCTTCTAGGGAAGTGATACGGGAATTTGTAGACAAGTTATGTGAACAGTTTGAGGACTCACACAGATGCAAGTATAGTCATAACGACTGGAGTTATTACCAATCCTTGTACTTCGTGGGCAGTGTCACCACAACGATAGGTAGGAACTCAAGACTTCAGAACTGGGCTTTACGTCACCTACTTGATTTGCAATGCATTGTAGGGTCAGTTTCCGGAGAAAGCAAAACTGGAAATCCGCCATGTTTTGTCCAAAAACATATCCTATAACGGTGGAACTAGCGGTAAACTAGTGTGAGCTGGGTCGGTGTTTCAAAAGAAACAGTTGTGTAAAAAGATAAATTTAACACCATAAAAAAACTGACGTTTCGGATTTAATCTTTCGTCGGAGTAAAGAAGGACGAAGGATTAACGTCCGGAACGTCAGAACGTTATTTCACCTACTTTTTTACGGTGTTGAATT